CACAGGAAGAAATTTGTCAGTTCATGGATTTTTTTGGGTTGGAAGGGACCTCTCAAGATTATCTAGAGCAACCTCTCTGCTCTAACAGGAGGTTTCAGCTGCCTGTCCAGGACCACATCCAGTTTGGTTTGGAGTATCTCTATGGTTGGAGACTTCTAAACTTCTCTTGGCAACCTTGTTCCAGTGTTTGACTGCCCTCACAGTAAAAAAAGGTTTCTTGGTTCAGATAGAATTTCCTGTTTCTTAATGTGTCCATTGCTTCTTGTCCTGCCAGAACCATCATGCTGGAATAAATAGCACCCTGACTGGAATTAGAGTCATAGAATCATTAATATTGGAGAAATACTCCAAGATCATTGAGTCCAGTGTTAATTACTGTCAGCCTTACCCCCTCCTACCTTCTCCTGAGCAATGGGGTTTAACAAGGAGGGTGACTATGAATTGGGATCTCATCCTCTCACTGAGGGATTCACCCTGAGCTTTACCCTTCCTCTTCCCTCCCTGTGGCCACGAGCCAGCTTTGATTGGATTCTCTTTGCTCCTGCAGGAAGAGTTGGCACACGGATCGTGGGATCAATGCAAGGTGGAGACACGGAGGAAGATGTGAGTAACCATCTCATGTGTCTGCAGAGCTCCTCTGACAGGGCTTTAGATGCCAGCCCTCTCCTCAGCTGCAGAGACACCTTTTTACCTGCTGAATCCTCACACCCCAGGCCTGCTTTTCCCCTCCTTTCCAACGGCTGACACCTTTCCTTGGCATAGATGTGTATTTCCTTATTTTTCCTTTGTTCTTGGAGTCTGTGTGCTCTGTGTGCTTTACCATCCTGCAGTGCAGAGCTAGTGGCACACAGGCTGCAGGAATGCTGTTGTGAGCTGTGGGGCAGGTTTCTGGGAAGAGGGACCAGTGCAGTGCAGCAGGAGTTAAATACATGGACCTAAATCCCCTTCATTGCTCTAAGAAGTCCCTCCTTGGAGCCCTGTACTGGCAGAATCTGTCCTCTGGGGGATGGGGCAGGGATGAGAGCAGGACTGTGAGCTGTGCCCTTGAGGTTCCTGCTGCCCCAGGGCTCCTGGCCTTGCACTGGGTTGTGGTTTACATGTGAGTGGACAGTGTGAAAGGCACACACAGGTTTGCACAGGAGGCACTTGCTGTGCCCAGCCTTTGGCATCCATGGGCAGCCTTTCTGTGCCCCTGGGCACACCTGAGGGGACACAACTGCACCAGGAAGCTGAAGCCAGCTGCTGGGATGTGGTTGGCATTTGCAGTTAGCTCTCCCCAAAAAGCTGCTGCCATCCCAGGAGCAGTGGGGCTGTTCTCTCCAGGTGATGCTGGAACACTGTTTTGGAGAGTGCTAGGAGACAGTGCAACTGTGGTGCCTGTGGGTTTGTGTTTGAGCCTGTGCTGCTGTTAATTCCCAGTGTGGATGGAACCTTTCTGTCTCAGTCCAGCAGACACCCCTCAGTGCTGCCTGTCTCAAGGAGGGGAGCTCAGACATTTCTGGGAATCTCAGAATGGTTTGAGTTGGAAAGGACCTTAAACCCCATCTTGTTCTACTAGACCAGATTGCTCCAAGCCAACCTGACCTAAAACAATTCCAGGCATGGGGCAGCCACAGCTTTTGGGGCACCCTCACCTTGTGTCTTGGAGAGGAACTTGCAGCCCATGCTCTGCTCTTTGCTCCTGCCAGCGTGGGTGTGGTGAAGGCTGTTGTTGGCTCCTGGACATCCAGACCCATTTCTGGGATGGGCAGAGTGCTGTGTTGGGGGTGAAGATGTTGTCACTTCAGTCCCAGCACTGCCTGATTGTCCTCAGCAGTGTTACTGACAGGTTTGGACTGTCACCCTTTGCCATTCCTGTTCCCTTTCCCTGCTGGCAGCTCTCTCCCTGCTGGCACAGCCCCAGGGATGGAAAGCCAAAGCCTTCAGCCTGTGACTTCCCTCAGCTGCAGCCACTTCAGCTGTCTCATGGCTGTGCCCTCTGACTGCAGCTTCTCAGAGCTCAGGGATCTTTGCAGGCCTCTGTGTGTCCCAGATTAGGGGAAAAAAAAAAATTAATCAGGCAATGCAAAAATCAAAATAATCATAAGTTGCATTGCTGGCTAATCTATTGCAGTCACAATTAAACTTCAGAGAGAAGCCCCTGTTGAATAAAATGCCTTCAAAAATAGATCAAAAAGTTTATAGATATTGTGTAATAGATTATATATGGATATTGCTTTTCTGATGATATCTACTGGTTTTGCAATCACTGAAGCAGCTTTGAACCCTCAAGGAATTGATGGAGTTAGGAAGAGCCAGCAGTGTGTGCCTGGCCTCTGTCACCTGCTGGTGTGGCACAGGATACCTGAGCTGTGCCTGCCTTCTCCCCTGCTCTCAGCCTGGGTACTTTCTGTTTTCTTTTATGTTCTTGTGCTTTTTTTTCCTGCTCTGCCTCTCGTGTTCCCACTCTGGCTCTCCAAGGGGACCCCAGCCCCGGCACGGCCAGGCCGGCGCAAGGCACAGGTGGGTTCCTGTCCTGTGGTTCATCACCATCCCCTCACCTCTGTGGTCTCACAGCAGCTGGCACCTGAGTGCCACAAAGCCTGCCAGGCTTTTAACAGCCCAGAGCCAGCAGGAGTCAGGGGATTTGTGTCCATCAGCCCTGTGGGGTGGGGAGGGAGGTTTGCAATCCATCGGGAGTGCAGCGGGACACCGGCGCTGCCATCCCTCACTTTGGGCTGGCCATAGACTCTCATTTCCTGTCCTGCAGGATGACTCAGGGGATAGTGAGATTGATCTGGATGAAGATGAAGATGAGGAGGAGGAGGAGGATGATCTGGAAGATGACAGCATGGAAATCTCCCCAGGCAAATCCAGTCTCCGAGCAAGGAAGCCGGAGCCACTGGAGCAAAGCGATAATGACTTCTGACCCGTCAGTAGCAGGAGGCCTCTTGAAGCACAAACTTTGGAGAGGCCAGGAGCTAATACCCTGCTGTCTGAAAACTGTGTCAGTGTGAATCCAAAAGTTGGTAAATAATGTTCATTAAACCTGAAAATTAAACTTGGATTGCCAGGTTTGTGAATCTCAAAGCATGAGCAGTTTATCCATACTGAGAATCACAGTAATGTGCACTTATTTCCATAATTGCACTAAACTGTGCACTGCAGTGCCAGAAGTCTCACTCCAGTGAGCATCGTGTGCCTGATTTCCCTGCATTTTATTATGTCCAAATAGATTTCTTTGGCTTAATAAAACTGGATGAAAAGCTGCTCTGGGAATGCATTTCAATTGCTTTTAAATCTGGCTTAAATCTATTTATCCTAAGCATATCCTTTACTTAATCAAGGGCTTGTCTGCACAAAGAGCAGCACCAGGTGGACTGAAGGAGTGGAATTAAAACTGGACAAGTCTCCAGGGACACCTCAGAGCCCCTTCCAGGGCCTAAAGGGGCTCCAGGAGAGCTGCAGAGGGACTTGGGACAAGGGATGGAGGGACAGGACACAGGGAATGGCTTCCCACTGCCAGAGGGCAGGGATGGATGGGATATTGGGAAGGAATTGTTCCCTGGGAGGGTGGGCAGGCCCTGGCACAGGGTGCCCAGAGAAGCTGTGGCTGCCCCTGGATCCCTGGAAGTGTCCAAGGCCAGGCTGGATGGGGCTTGGAGGAACAGTGGAAGGTGTCCCTGGCCACGGCAGCAGGGGGGAATGGGATGGGCTTTGAGGTTCCTTCCAACCCAACCCATTCTGTGATGATCTGACCCCCGAGACCAGGCCCAGCCTCCCAGTGTGGGCTGCAGTTGCAGTCAGTTTTCCAGTCCTGTACTGAAGGCCCAGATGGAAAAGTGACTCCATACCTGGTGTGCACAGAGCCAGAGCCTCTCTCCCCAGGCAGCACTGCCACCCAGCCTCCAGCACAGCCAGCAGCCATTTGGCAAGGCCACTGCTGGTGGTGCAGGGGCTTGTGCCAGGAGCAGCAGCAGCAGCAGCCCCTGTGCCACTGAATTGAGCTCTCAGTTCAAATGTCCTGCAGTGCAAGAGCAAGGCTGCACCAGGCATCTTCTCATCCAAGAACTAATTTATTCCTGAGTATTTACATCTGCAGAGCTCAGCCCAGTGTTTGTGGGATCAGCCCCCAGGTCCCTGCAGCAGCCACTGGCTGCCCTGAGTGTGGCACTGTGTCCTGGCTGGGGTGGGGACAGGGGACAGTGGCTTCAGGGGGCTCTGAGGGTTCACAGGGTCACCTCAAACCTGGCACCTCTGGAGAGTCACTGGCTCTGCCACACACACCAAGGTACCACCTTTGCACTCCCAGTCTAAAGGTGACCTGCTAGGGACAGACCTTGCAGCTGGGACACCCCAAAGTCACAGAACACAGGTGACAGCAGCAGCAGGAGATCCAAGAGCTCTATCCTGAAGCTGAGAGGCAGAACTTTGAGCTGAGGCAGTCCTGGTGTAGCACCAAGATGTGCTGGGGACAGCCCAGCCTCGGGCAGTGCAGTTCCTCTTACATTCACCCCCCTACTCCTCCATTTTCCTGAGGACTCTTTATTTTCCAAGGTCTTTCTAGACAGTTCCACTCCTATGCCTTGGGTTACCTCACTCTTGCACAGAGAACAGCTCTACCAAACACTTCAGGTGTGTCAGCCAGGACCTGCTAGTGCCCAGGGTCACAGCACCACACCCTGAGCAAGGCAGCAGCAAATCTCGTGTCCATCTGGGATTTCAAGGGGAGCCAGGGGTGACAAAGCACCAGGGAGATCACAGGAAGAGTTGCTGCCACCAGCAGATAAACCATCCACAATCGAGGTCTGGCATGTGGAATCTGCCCCTCCTCACTCCTTTTTGCATTTCCCCCATTTCATCAGGGCCTGGATGAGCCCAGACACGGACATAACACATCCCTCAGCTTTCAGCATTGACCCTCCCACGCTCCTGACCCAACACCCTCGGTCCTCCTGGGCCGTGCCAGGAGCTCAGGAGCTTTCCTTGCCCCAGTTCTCATCCCTGAGATGGGCACCAAGGAGCTCCCTGCAGTCAGCAGGGCAGAGGGACCCCCGGGCCCCCCTCGCTGCAGCCAGGGCCCCTCACACGTCCACGACGCAGTCGGGCGAGTTTGTCCGGATGGTGTCCGAGATCACCTTGGCTCCCGACTGCCCAATGCGATTCCCCTGCAGGCTGGGAGCAAAGACAGGAGCTCAGGCTGGGGCGTGAGGCAGGGCTGGATCCTTGCTGGGGACAGGAGATGCTGCCCAGCTTCACCCCAGCATCACCTGTGCCAGGACCCTGCTCAAGGGCACTTTGGGAACCCTGGGGCAGCCAAGGGAGGAGCTGGAGACAGCCCCGGACAGCTGGAGGGGCTGAGCCACCTCTCCCCTGGAACGTTCTGGTGTGTATCTGTCTCTTGAGGTGGTTTTTGGCCCAGAGGCATCCCTGGAGAGGCACTGAGGGGTCTGGAGCTGTGTGGGAGTGGTGGCTGTCACACTGGGAGGAGCACAGGGCGCCCCTGCCCTGTGGGGCAGCCAGGAATGGGCAGTGCTGGCAGTGAGGAAGGTTCTGGATGGTTCCCATGGTCTCCCCCACCCACTGCAGCAGCCACTTACTTGACATAGGTGAGGCCGTGGTTGCCCTTCAGGGCGGTGGCGATGCAGATGGCTCCGTCCATGCCCAGGGAGTTTTCCTGCAGGCTGCGGGAGGCAGGAGGGTCAGACAGCACCAGGAGGGAATGCATGGGTTGGGCATTGGGAAAAGCCACCTGCTCGGGGTTTGCCCTTCTGAGAACCACTGGCTTGGCCACCCCATCGCTCTTCCCTATGTCTGGAAAGGACAGGGAATGTTCCTGGCTCAGCCTGGCAGTGGGATACTCACTTGAGCCGGCGGAGGCTGCGGTTCACCTTCAGCGCGTTGGCCACGGCCTTGGCCCCCGCCAGGCCCAGGGAGTTTCCCCGCAGGCTGCAAAGAAAGGCAGGGGTGAGGAAGCAGGGACAGCTCTGAGATCACCCTGCGAGGGCAGGACAGTGCTGAGCCAAGGGCCAGGCTCTCAGACGCCCCAGGGATCAGTGGCACAGCCGTGGGCACTTGGTGGCCCCACGGAGCTCTTACTCCAGGATCTGCAGGCTCTTGTTGACCATCAAGGCTTCTGCCAGGGCTTGGGCACCGGCCGCGCCAACTGAAGCCACTTGCAGGCTGCAAGGGAACAGGGACCCTTCAGCACTGTCCTGAGGTGGCCATGGGGTGTTAATTAGGATAATTAGGCTGTGTCACCAGGGTCCTGCTGCAGCCTGGGTACTCACTGGAGATCTGCCAGGGTGGTGTTGACCTTGAGTGCAGCGGACAGGGCGGCCATTCCCTCGTCTCCGATGGCGTTCTCCTGCAGGCTGGGACAGAAGTGTTGTGTGTGCCCATGGCCTGGGAATCAGGAGCAGGGACAGGGCAGCCAGCACAGGGCCCAGCATTCCCAAATGGCTTGGGAGAGCTCCTGGGCCACAAGACATTCAGAGCATCCCTAGCCAGGGACACGCAATGGGGACACAGCCAGGGACACGCAATGGGGACAGAGGAGATTTCCAGGGCCTAAAGGGGCTCCAGGAGAGCTCCAGAGGAACAAGGGTTTGCACTGCCAGAGGACAGGGATAGATGGGATATTGGGAAGGAATTGTTCCCTGGGAGGGTGGGCAGGCCCTGGCACAGGGTGCCCAGAGAAGCTGTGGCTGCCCCTGGATCCCTGGAAGTGTCCAAGGCCAGGCTGGATGGGGCTTGGAGCAGCCTGGGATAGGGAAAGATGTCCTTGCCATGGTAGGGGTGGCACTGGATGAGCTTTAAGGGCCCTTCCAGTAGTGCCCAGCACCGATCCACCCACGTCCCCACTTACTCGAGGCTGGCCAGGCTGCTGTTGGACTGTAGTGCTTGTGCCAGGGCCATGGCTGCTTTGGCCTGGATGAAGTTCCACTGCAAGCTGCAAACAGGAGAAAATGAGAGGTGAAGCCTTGGGCTGTGAGAGAGCCCTGACCCATCCAGGCTCCACATCCATCTGCACCCAGGATGTCACAGCACCCCTCCCATGGAGTGACCCAGGGGTGCCACTGTCCCAGCCCGGAGGGGCTGAGGGCCAGGAGAAGTGTCCCTGGCCATGTCCATGCAAGGGGCTTCAAACCCAGCCAGGCCCAGGGGGAAACTCACTGGAGGGACGTGAGTGCCCGGTTCTCTTTGATGGCCAAGGCGATGGCCTTGCCCCCGTCATCGTACAGCAGGTTGGCCGCCAAGCTGGGGGGACACAGGAGTCAAGTGACATGTGAAAAGCTGGGGACAGCTCCAGGGGGGCACCATGAGGGTCTGGCTGCCCTCCTGGGGCCCGTGGCACTCACTCCAGCTTCCTGAGGGTGCTGTTGCTCCGCAGGGCGCGGGCGATGGCGGGACCGCCCTCCTTGCTGATGGAGTTCTCCCGGAGGCTGGGGAAAGACACGGGGCTGGGGAGGAGCAGCCAAGGCAGGGCTGGATCAGCTGCTCCCCCACTGCCCCCTCCTGCTCTGGGGCTGAGGCCATGGATTGAGGAGAGCAGCTTGTCTGAGACCACCCCCAGCAGCTCCTGCAGCTCCGTTCCCTGTGTTTCCTGTGGGCTCCAGGGCTTTTTGCCAGCCTCCCATCCCTGCTGCCATCCAAGGCTGAATGAATATTGTCCCAAAGGGAGAAAGATAAAGACAGAGAGAAATTCCTCACAGCTGGAGGAGGGAGCAAAGCTGCTTTCAGCATCTCAGAGCACTTGTGGAAACAACCAGGCACAAGCCCAGGCTGCTGGAAAGCTCCCAGGTCCCAGCAGCAGCTTTTGGCCAGGGTGGCTGGAGGGACTGTCACTTACTTGAGGCTGAGGAGTCCCTTGTTGGAGCAGAGAGCTGCTGTCAGCGCTGTGACCCCTGTGCTGCTGATGGAGTTGCTCTGGAGACTGAGACAAACGGGGAGGGTGTGAGGATGGGCCAGTCCTGGCATCACAGCTGGGCTGCAGGGTCATGTTTGGGGTGCAAAGTGCCCCTTTCACTGAGGAAAGGGAACAGGGGCAGGAAGGAGCAGCACTGGAGCATCAGGGGGGGGCTCAGCCATTCCTGCTGACTCAGCAGCACCAGCCCAGCAAGCAGAGGGGACAGGGTTTGCCAGCACTTCAGGGCAGCCTTGTCACCTGTCACCGAGGCTGCTGCCTCAGCTGGACATGTGGCTCCCATGGGTTTGGGATCCTTGTCACAGGGACAGAACCAGGGCTTAGCCACTCATCACCAGGAGCCATCAGCCCTTGTCTCCAGGTGCTGTTCCCATGGGGAATGAAGGTTGCACCATTCCAGCCTGACTCTGCCAGGCCCCATTACCTCCCTCCTTAGCCAATTCCCAACACTTTTGAGAGAGAGAACATCCAAAGCTACTGATTTCCCCCAAACCAAAATAAGAAGTCATCATTGGGTTTTAGGATTAATTCTGTCAGTGCCCCTTGGTGCAGGCAGGGCCAGCCTGGCTGCTGCTGGAGCTGCCTCATTGTGTTCCAGCCTGCACATCCAGGGAATGTGGAGTGGGACAGACACGGGGAGGAGCTGAGGGCTTGAGGGGTGGCAGATTTTGCTGGAAGGAAGAGGCTGGGCTCTGTTGTCAAGGAGGGGGAACTTACTCAAGGCTTTGCAGGCTGTGGTTCACCCTGAGAGCTTCGGCCAAGGCGATGGAGCCGTTGTCTCCCACTGAGTTGCTCGAGAGTCTGAGACAGAAGAAGAAGTTTGGAACTGGCAGCAAGGGATTCACCTCCCCCAGGCTCTTCCTGCTGCAGCAACGAGCATGAACTCGCTGCCACCTCATTCCCCACCTACGTACACCTCTGTTCTCGTGCCTGGTTTGAGCTGGAATAGCTTTTAATGTTTCCCCAGCCCTGCTGCAGAGGGATCTGCCAGAGGGGAAATGGCTTCTCCTTTCTTTATGTGGCTCCCTGCATCCCTGGAGATACAGAGAGCATCTCCAAACCTCCAAACCCTCCTGCCTGCCACGTGCTCCTGCCCCTTTCCTGCCATTCCTGCCCACAGATCCCAGGATTTGTGGTGTTGGCACAGCCATCCCTCCACCTCATGGTGCTCACATCAGCTCCCTCAGGCTGCGGTTCTGCTTCAGCGCCTCCGCGATTTCCCGGGCGCCCTGGGCTCCGATGGCGTTTTTCTGCAGGCTGCAAGGGTGAGCAAGGCACCTGTGAATGGCAGGTGCCACATCCCCATCGGTGGCACTGCAGCCTGCTGGGGGCTGCAGGGGGACACCACGTCCGGGTCACTCACTGCAGGGTCACCAGCCCGTGGTTGGTCAGCAGGGCCTCAGCCAGGAAGGTGGCCCCGTGCTCCTTGATGGAGTTGTGCTGGAGGCTGTGGGAGACAGGAGTGAAGCCATGTGTGGATGCTTCCAGGGGCTGCAGGGCAGTGCTCACCTGCCCTGGGGTTTGAGAAAAGGGTCTGACCCCCAGGCATCCCTGACCAGGAGTGTCCTTCCCTCCTCTCCCATGGGATATTCCTTCTTCCGTGAAACAGCACCCTGAGAGCTCCCGTGCACAGAAGGACCTCAACCTGAACCTCAACCCCACCCCACTGAAGCCAAGAGGCAGGAGAATCCCAGCTCTCTGGCCCAGGGCAGTCCTTGGGTCTGTGCCAGCTGCACTCGTGTTCACTGCCCAGCACTGACCCCGGGTTTGCCCAGGATGTCCCCATGTGCTGGCCCTTGGAGCTTGGGAAAACCCCAGTGGGACAGAAGAGGGATGGAAGGGAGCCTGCCCTGGGGATCTGCTCCAGGAGGTGCTCCAGAAGTTGAGACTTACTTCAGGGAGAGCAGGATTTGGTTTTTTTTCAGGGCATCAGCCAGGGCTTTTGCTCCGGTGGGGCCGATGGAGTTGCTCCGCAGGCTGGGGCGGGACAGGCAGGAAAGCCAAGGTTAACAAAGCCGGACTGGCACAGGCCCAGTTTAATCCAGATGCCTCCACATGGCACTGCTGAGGTGGGACATCAGGCCAGCAGCTTGTGGTGGTGGCTTTAGGGGCTGGAGACCCTCCCCAAGTCAGGCCGGGCGGGATCCAGCCCTGCCGTGGCCGGGGATGGTTCCCAGTGGGAATGTGTGTCCCACTGGAGCTGGGGAGGGGGGAACACTTACTCCAGCACCGTCAGGCTCCTGTTCACCAGCAGAGACCTGGCCAGAGCTTTGGCTCCCTTGTTGCTGATCTGATTTTCTGCCAAGCTGCGCAGAAGAAGGAAAATCTGGTGTTTTTCCAGGGCCTGGCATGTCCCAGGACACAGCTGGGATGGTGAGCAGAGAGGGGCCGTGGGGAGCACTCGGTTCATGGCACAACCAAAGTGATGGATGTTCTCCTGGGGTGGGCACCAGGCAGGGACGTTTCTGGGCATCAGATTAATTTGTGTTCTATAAAGGAGCTCAGATGGCAGCATGGGGAACTCTGTGCAGCCTTGGGGAAGAGCAGCAGGTGGGGAAAGTGGGAACCCATCTGTCTGGGATGAGGCATCTCCCTGCATGGGGGTCAGGAGCCTGTCCCCTGTCCCCTCCCTGCTCCATGCAGAGCCTCGAGTGTCCAGCACTCTGCTGTGACCTTGGGAAGTGGTTTGTTGGGATAACCCATGGATTTATTGACATTTTTTTAGGAACAGTGAGGAGGCAGCAGGGAGGGGATTGTGTGGGGCTGTTCTTGTCATCAGGCACCCTGGGGAGCCAGTGGGAGAGACATTCTTGGGGACCCTCACCCCGGCTTTGCGGTGCCCCCAATTCCCCAGGACATCCCATCCGCCCTGGGCTCCCACCTGAGCCTCTGGATCTGGCAATCCTTCACGCTCAGCACACTGCCCAGCAGCTCCATCACATCGTCCTTAAACTGGTTATTGTCCAGCCTGCACAAGACACAAGAGCAAGAGCAAGGGTTTGGAGAACAAAGTGGAGAAAGGATGATCCCCACGACATCTGCCTCTCCCAGAGGGAGAACTCAAGGACAAGCAGAGCTGACCCAGTGCCACCCCCAGGGTGGACAACAGGTGGTGGACCATTCTCTGCAGGTGGACAACATTTGGTGGACCCAGGTCTCCACTGACACCTGGGACTGTGAGTCACAGGGGAGAGAACTCACTGCAGCCTCCAGTACTTAGAAAGGACTTAAAACAGGGAACAGTTTAAACTAAAGGAGGAGAGATTTGGAGTTAGGATGAAATTCTTCCCTGGGAGGGTGGGCAGGCCCTGGCACAGGGTGCCCAGAGAAGCTGTGGCTGCCCCTGGATCCCTGGAAGTGTCCAAGGCCAGGCTGGACAGGGCTTGGAGCAGCCTGGGACAGTGGAAGGTGTCCCTGCCCATGGCAGGGGATGAGACTGGATGGGCTTTGGGGTCCCTTCCAACCCAAACCAATCTGTGATTCCACAGCCACAGCCTGGAATCTCTCCTCGCTTCTCCCGGTGCAATCCCACCAGGACTCACCTGAGGTTGTGGCAGAAGAGGAGCTGGGAGAGCAGGCTCTTACAGACATTGTAGGTGAGGCAGTTGGAGAGGTTTGTCTCCTCCAGGCAAACATCAGAGACCTGCAGGAGATAAGCCAGGGCAGAGCAGTTCATGGGGGTGAGCATCCCAGCCAAGCTCTCTCTCCTCATGGCCTCCTCCACAGCCTTGGCGGTGTCCGTGTGCTGGATCTCGTGCAGGCAGCGCACGGCGTTGACGGCGCGCGAGGAGACGGCGTGCTCGGCGTTCAGGCAGCCCTGCAGGACGCCGATGGCCTGGCTCCTGAGCCCGCCGTGCTCGCCCTTCACCAGCAGCCACCCTGACAGCAGCTCGTTCACCTGCGGGGACAGGAGCCCCGAGAGGAAGCGGATGAAGATGTCCAGCTGCCTGTCCTCGGCCTGCAGCGCCCGCTGAACGGCGCTCCTGAAGTGGCTGAGGAAGCCCAGCCTGGGCCAGGACACGCCGCTCTCCGTGAAGAGGTCGAAGAAGGCCCGCTTGGCCGCCGTGTAGTAATAAAGAGCTGCCAGGAACTCCTGGATGGATAAATGGGAGAAGTAGTAGGCTGTGGAGGCCTGCGTGTCCTCCTTGAGCAGGAGGCGGGTGGAGAGGCTGCTGTGCAGCAGGGAGAGGTCGATGCCGTAGGCCTTCATGTCCTGCTCGTAGAACACGTGTTTCCTCCGCAGCAGCCCGCAGAATGCCAGCCTGCCCACGCTGCCCACCAGCTTCTTGCTGGTGTTCACAGCCTGCTCAGTCCTGAGGGTTTCTCGTGGCTTTTCCAGCCAGTCACCGCTCAGAGCCATTTTAAAATAATAGGAGTAGATTTCTGACAGGGTCCTGGGGACCACGGTCGCTTCTTGGGATCGGTCGCTGCTGCGTTTCAGGAAATAAGCGATTGAGGAGCCAGAAATCCAGCAAAAACTAGGAATGGTGCACAGGACGTGTAGTGACCTGTTAGCCCTGATGTGCTGCAGGACTTGGCTGGACAGATCTCTGTTGCCCAGGAACATCTGGTCCAAGAAGTCCTTCATCTCTGCAGCCCCAAACCCTCGGATTTCCGTCATCCGATCCACCAGCCCGCTGGGAATCTGCCTGGCCGCCGCCGGCCGCGACGTGACCCACACGGAGGCCTCCTGCAGCAGGTTACCCCTGATAATGTTGGTGATCAGGCTGTCCACTTGGATCTCCTTCTTGGGATCGGTGCAAACCACTGCGTTGGAAAAATCCAAGGGGGTTTTGAACTCATCCAGGCCGTCGAGGATGAGCAGGGTCCGGGCGGCTCCGGCCGAGATGGGGCCGGGCTCGGTGCTGTGAGGGCGGGCCGAGCACAGCAGGCGCTCGGCAGAGAGCTTCTCGTAGGTGTTGAGCTCCCTGAAGGTGAGGGGCAGCACGAACGTGGTGTCCCTGCTGATCTCCCCCTTTGCCCAGCTGCAGACAAACAGCTTCACCAGCGTGCTCTTGCCAATCCCGGCCACGCCGATGGTGACGGAGATCCGAGGGGGGATGCTGACTTTGGAGAGAGGCAGGAACAGCTTCTCCAGGGGGATGCTCTGGGATGTGTTTGGCAGGCCTTTGGTGATTTCCACCTGCAGGATGTCGTGCTCCTTCTGCTGGATGTCGGTCAGACCTTCCACCAGCAGCAGGTTGGTGAGGCGCTGCAGGGCTCCTGTCTCCAGGCCATTCCCACAGGAGCTCTGGAGGCTCTCCAGGTGCTTCTGCACCATGGGTTCTGCACAGACAAATGAAACGGATGAGGAGGAAGCACAAAGGCAGATGACAGAAGCTGCTTCACTTTTCTGCCATGCCCATGCAGAGGGAAACCTCCTAGAGCCCTCAGTCCTGGTGGGAAGGTACATGGCAGGGCTCAGAGGGCACCAGTGGGCCTAAAGAGCCCTGATCAGCCTCACAGTCAGTCAGGAGCCCATTTAAGCTCAGCCCTGGGCCTTCAGCCTCAGCTAAAGCTGTTTTGAGCTAGATCAATCCTGGACCTCATTGCCTGGTGGCCACTGGTCTGTGTCTGAACCTGCTTGCCCTTGCTGGGCCTGATCCTGACCTCTCGATTGACTTCCCAACTTGTCTCCATTCCTGCCTCATTGCCATGGACTCTCTGATGACCTGGACTCTTGGCTGAACCTGGTGGCCACCTCTGGAGCTGTCCTGCTCTCCTGGCTCAGGTACCACAGCAGAATGAAACCCTCCAGGGATAATGGTGTGAGAGATTCGGAGCCAACACCAGCCGAGGCTGGAGCCTTCCAGCCAGGAGGGAAATCAGGGAAACCTCTCCTGGCAAGAGGACTGCAGAGACAGCCTGGAGTTGGGGCAGCCAGCAGCAGATGGGGTCAGGGTCAGCTGTCCTATTCCTGTCCCCAGCCTGGGGCTGGGACTGGTGTGATCTGGACATTGAGGATGTTAAAAACTCCTCAGGCTGCCCAGAGAGGTGTGCAGAGGGGCCTGGAGGAAGGTCCCTCAGACCTGGCAGAGAGCTCTTGTCACCCCCAGCTCTGTGCACACCTCAGGGTGCTCCAGCAAGCACCAGGCCACCCCTGCAGCCCCCCTGGCTGGGTTCCCCACACAGACACTGGTGTGGGGGCAGAGCTGTGAGCTGGAGGTGTCCATGAAGCTCTGCAGGGACCGGGAGGTGTGGCTGTCCCTGCCAGCTGGGACATGAAGCTCACCTGCTGGGGAAGGGGGCTCGCTGCCTGCACCTGGGCAGCCCCCTTGGCCCTCAGGAGCTCCAGCCTGTGCAGAGGGGACGTGATGTCCTCCAGGAGCTGTGGGGAAATGGATCTCACCAGCTGCTGGCGGTACCGGTTGATGCAGACCCCTGTGGGACAGGACAGAGGGACAGAGGGACAGAGGGACAGAGGGACAGAGGGACAGGTGGGTCCTGGAGCAGCCCTGGGAATGAGGGGTGACAGGGAAAGGCAGCAGTGCAGAGCTGCCTCTGACTCTGAAGGTAGCAGGGGTGAGCTCCAGCCCTCCTGCCCTGTCCAAGCCCTCCATGTGATGATGCCATCCCAAAGCCCTGGCAGGAGGTTTTGTTAGGTCAGGGCAGCACCTACTGAAACTGGAGCCAGAGACTGAAGAACAGAACCATGAAATGGCTTTTTCTCCTGGAATCCAAACCCACGCAGAGCAAAAACTCTGAGCAAGATCATTTCTCTCCAGAGACAGCCATTCCCCCGGTGCCAGTACAGCACTGCCTGCATCTGCTCACACCTGCCTGCCCCACCTCATCCCATTTCTGACTCCAGAGCTCCCCAAGGTGACAGATCAGCCCAGCCAGCCCTCACCTTCCATCAGAGGCCTCCTGTGACATGGGCGGTCCTGGGGTGAGCAGCGCTGTGGTGGCAGCAGCAGGGTCCCATCGGCCGCCCCGTGTGCCCCTGGCCAGCTCACAGCACCAGCCAGGGCTCCTCAGCCCCTGTCCATGGCCCTGCTGGAGGAGGAGAAGCATCAGGAGCAGTGTGGGAGGCAGCTCTGAGCTGTTGTGGTGCTGGGTGTGGTTGAGCCAGGGGTTCATTGCTCAGCTTTTGGCTGAGTCCCCCTCACTGCAGGCCCAGACCTCAAGTGCTGCACACTTGGTGCCTTCGCCACCACCACGTGCACCTTCCTCAAGCAGCCTGAGGGTCACCACGGTCACCAGGGCTGGGAACTGCTTGAACATTCTTCTTCCCTGTGTTGTGCAGGAAGCTGTGGGGCAGCAGGCAGTGATGAAGGGCCTGCTTTGGTTTCAAACCCACCTTGCCCCCATCCAGAGCCTCTGTCAGGGCTTGCTGAGCGGGGCCAGCACCACATCCTGTTGCAGAGCTCTGAGGATGCTCTGAATCATCACCCAGAGAAGGAGAACCTACCTGCCCCCTCCCCCTCAGCTGCTGCCAAACCACACCGAGGGTTTGGTGTTTATTTTCAAGAAGTGAATCTGCTCAGAGTCCTGTTGTTCTCAAGCAGAGGCAGAGAGGGAAATGTCTCCGTGCCTGAGAGCGCTCCCAGCTCCACCTGTGTTGGAGGCACAGTGCTGTGGCCTCTCCACCAGCCCCAAAGTCATCTCCAGCCATGTCCAGCTGGGAACTCCTGAGCCCCAGGGGGTGGCTGACCACAGGAGCAATGCACACACAGTGTTGCAGTGTCCTGGCATTTTTCCTCCCCTCCACCTGCCCTACAGGATGCTCTGGATCCAGGTGAACCCCTCCATGCTGGTCAGAGGCTCTGAGGGGGTCCCTGCCCACAGCCAGCCTTGCCCTTGTCAAACCCAGCCCTGAGGGGGACATGGGCACTGTGGGGGCTTTGGTGCAGCCTCAGGGACAGGCACAGGTAACACTCTTTGGTCAAACCTCTCCTAGGGACAAAGCACAGATGTAGCTGGGCCAGGAAAACCTGGCGGAGTTTCTGATCCATGGTGTGAGGCCAAGGTGTTTGGAACCTCTCCTGTTCATCCTCTCTCCCAGGGATCCATGCTGGGGTTATTTCTCCCCCCAGAAGCACAAGAGTGCAGAAGGTGGAGGGACCTGACGCTGTCCCCAGGGCTGAGTCCCTCCCAGGCCACGGCAGACACGGGTGGCACGTCCCACAGAGTGAGGTGACAGAAGGTGCTGGGTGACAAAGCACCAGCCCAGCCCCACCTGCCCAGGGGGTTCCTGACAAGCCCCAATGGGGCTGGGAGGTGCTGCTGGAGCAGGGTCTGAGCCCACTGTCTCTCCCTGCAGGCTGGGCTCTCACCCCCACGGGCAGTGCTGGTGATCCCACAGCAAAGCCCTGGCAGCAGCAGCTCTTCCTCATCCCCCCCAGGCAGCGGCCTGGTCAATGAAGAGAGCATCAATTAAAGCAGCTCAGGGAGCAATTCACAGCAGAATGTTCACCTTTTGATGTGTTCTTGTCTCTAACTGGCCTGGAAAGTTCAATTAAGCCTTTGCAGTCTCCAGGTCTGTCTCTGATCTGTGCAAGCCAGAGCACAGCCAGAATGAAAAGGGCTTTTGCTGCTTGCAGCGCTGCTCCCTGCAGCCCTTCCTCTGAAACGTGGCCCTTTGATGGGAGAAACCTGCTCCAGCACCAGGGAATGTTTGCTGCTCTCCTCTGGTGCTCCTCCAAAAACCAGCAGCCTTGGGCCAGCTCGTGCAGAGGCATCTCAGTGGGAGGATGAAGCAGAAGAAATAATGCAAGGGCTGGGTTTTTTCTTCTGGTTCCAGTAGTTTTGGGTGCAGCTCTAGCACCACACGGGGCTGGAGGGAGTTACCTGTCTGAAGGGTAAGGATCAGCCAAATCCAAGCTCCATAACCCCTACAGAGATCCAGGTGGGTCCAGGATGGGACCCAGCTCATTCCAAGGCCGTGAGTCCTGCCCGAGGTGTCCATCCTGCACATCCCGGGTGTGCAGCTTTGCCTGGCCACGACCCAGCAGTGTCCCACTGGCAGCCAGAGGAGCAGGGATGCAGCTTTGTGTCTGCCCTGCCCTGCCTGTGTCCCCAGGAAAATTGGGATAAGGGGCTGGAGGCTGTCCAGCCAAACTGGGGAATGGCACCTGCAAGCCCCAGGGAGGGAAATGGGATTTTTCTCGCCGAGAACTTGGCGTTAACACTTTTTTTTTTTTTGCTTAGTGTGGTCCAAAGGTTGAGCCCAGAAGAAAATCCTCTTTTCTAAGGATGTTTAGACAACACTGATGTGTTCTTCCAGCAAATCCAGTCCCACCATCCCTACATCCCACCCCATCCTGTCCCTGCCCAAAACCTGTGCTGGGAGCACTGTGCTGGAAGGTGCCCAGCTCGTGCACAGCCAATCCTCTCCCAAACAGCTGCTGTGGCTTTCACTGTGTCCATCCTGTTCCAGGATTCAGACTCCTGACACCAGAGAACACCAGAGGAGCTGGAAACAGCTGCTCCTGCTCATCTCTGGCTCTAATTCTGTTCACTCCTGGGAGCCTGACATGGCCAGAGCAGCAGGCAGGGAGCCTGGGATGAAGGGACACTCCTGAGGTGGCCACAGCATGAAGATGGAGACAAAGGGCATTTCCTGCCTCCCAGGTGTTCCTCCTGCCCCACACAGATCCATCACCCTGTGCCTTAGGAATGTGCTGAGGACCTGGGACCGTGCCAGGCCAGGAGCTGTCCCACAGCACCAGGACTGCAGCAGGTGACACTCAGCGCTTGGAAATGTGTGTTTGTCCCCCTGCAGGGGCTCGTGGGGAGATTCACCAGCAGCAGGGGGTGGTTGGCAGCTCCAGTGGGATTTCCCAGCTCACAGAGCCCTGGGGACACAACTGGGCTGGGGATGGGCCGAGGGTGCCAAGGTTAGACGGGCACCAAAGAGCTCCTGGATGGCTGCAGGCACCCACAGATGGAAAACATCCAAAAATGGACTGATCTACAACATTTACATAAGGTTAAAAGCTTTTTATACGAGCTAAAAATTGCCCCATCACACAGCACCTGCAGGAGGTGCCCACTCCAGCCCAGCTCCATGTCCCAAACTCGCAGGAAACCTCAGCCTGGCCATCTCCCTGTCCATGTGCCACCACTGTGGGGTTCCTCCAGGCAGCCCCAAAGCTCTTTTTATTCCCCAAAGCTCTGAGCTGGGGCTGAGGGAGCCCCGGGAGCTGCTCGGGCCCCTTCACCCGCTCACCTTGGGCTCTTTATGGTTATTTCTCCTGACCTGATCCCACCTCGGAGGTCAGAGAGCCGCCTGGAAGTGAAAACATTTCCCAACACCTCCAGCTGTTCCCCCTCAGCTGAGCGAATCCCGAAGCCAGGATGCAGGCTGCCACCTTTTGGCAGAACCGAAGAGATTTCACATCGTTCATTTCTGCTCATTAAACGATGCCATAAAATACCTTCTCCATTATTACTCAATTATGACACTTGCAGACTGGCAAGTAACTCAGTTATCTAAGTTTACATATGATTTATATATATTTTTTTAATTTAATGCCAGCAAAATTTATTTTCAAATGGATTTTATGTCGAATTTAATCTCTTCCAGGTTTGAGTTTTGATTTTTTTTGTTTCCTTGAACCCCGACCCCGATAACAGGGCCCAGACACAGCAGGGGTTAAAGAGGAGGTGAGGGGCCATGAAGAGCCCCTGGGCAGGATGGCAGCAGTGCCAATCCCAAATCTCACCAGAAGAAAAAGGACAAATGGGTCTATGGGTGATTCCAACCAGCTAAAAATGAAACTGATTTTGGAGATGAGGTCCCTGGCAGGGCACTGCCGCACCTCACAAGCTGCAGAATGGTGGTTGATGCATTTCCTGAGCTCTGAGGATGCTTTACCACAGGTGTGCAAACAGCTGATTGAAAAGCAGATCAGCAAACAGCTCCTGCCCTTCCCACCCACCAGGATATCGGCAGGAAAATGGAGCAGGAGCTGCTGCCAGCCCGTCTGTGTCACAACCCCAGCCCCAGGGATGCTGATGGATGTGGTACCCGCCCCAGAGACCTCCGGGTTTGGTCAGAACAACCTTCCTGAGCTTGCAGAGCGTCCCAAAGAGCAGCTGCAAGTTCTCCAGAAATAAATTCTTGTGCAACATGAACATCCCGAGTGGGAGGTGTCCCCTGGCTGCCAGCGATGCCGTTCTGGCTTTGGAGAACTCTTCCAGGTGCTGGCCAAAGCCTGAGGGACAGGGATACCCCAGGGGTGACAGCAGCCAGCCTGTGCTCCAGCAGTCCCACATTTATGGGCTACACAGTGCCCAGAAGTGCCTAAATAACAGCAGGATTATGTCTGGTGCCCTGGCTCTGTGCCCAGCGGGGTGCAGGGCTGAGCTCCAGCCCCCCGACCTGTTCCTGTGACACCCCAGGGCCTGCCCCACTCCCTGAGCCGTGCCACAGGTGAGTGTGTCACTAATCTCTTCCATTTCTATTGGTGGTACATCTTGGAGTTTGTTTTGGATGCTTTGGAAGTTAATTAGTTCAGCAATGACTAATTAAGGGGAGGGGGAAGCTGCTGCATGAGGCTTTGGGCAGGCAGGACAGCCTGGCTGGGGCTGCCTTCATACCCTGGCAGGCAGAGCGGGCAAGGGGACAGAATCTGTGACATGTGCCAGGTCAGCTGTGCCATGCTGTGCCATGCTGTGCCATGCTGTGCCATGCCATGCTGTGCCATGCTGTGCCGTGCTGTGCCATGCTGTGCTGTGCCATGCTGTGCCATGCCATGCCGTGCTGTGCCATGCTGTGCCGTGCTGTGCCATGCTGTGCCATGCCGTGCCGTGCTGTGCCGTGCCATGCTGTGCCATACCAGGGACCTGTGCCTTGCAGCTCCCAGCCCAGTGACTCCATTCCACATCACAGCACCAGCTCTGCCGCCTTGTCCCCAGGTGGGACAGCCAAGTGACACCTCCCGTTCTCCCCAAGCCCCCCAAACCCCCCAAGCCCCCCGTTCCCTACCTTGGCCCCGTGCCGCCTTGCCCGGCTCGCTGTGTGAGCAGGGGATGGGCGAGGGCATCCTGGTGCCGCTGGAGGATGCAGCCCCTCCGTGTCCCGCTCAGCTCCTTGTCCCCCGGGCTTTGCTTCCTCCTCCAGGGATGTTCAGGTGCGAGGTGGAAGCCACCCTTCCCTCCGGTGTCCCCCGCAGCTGATGGGAGCCGGGGCGGGGCGGTGCTCGGGGCAGCACCTGCGGAAGGTGGGTCCGGCTTCCCCCGCCGCTTCCAGCCCGGTGGTTTTTGTCTCTTTTTCGTTCGCTTCTCGCCCCTTCCTGCCCTGGGTCTCGCTGATCTTCCTTCCTGTCAGCGTGGGGCTGCTGACTGCACACCGGGGTGAGAGATCCGCCGAAACCCGGCAGCCGGGGCCGGCCCGCTGGGACGCTCCGTGCTCGGACACTTCCCCGGCTGCTTTCTCCCAAAAGCCACAAAACCGCCCCAACAACATCCAGACTGCTGCGAGTTCACTTGGAGCGAAACCGTGAGCTCACCTCAGCCTGGAAAAGCCGAGGGGTTTTGTTACACAAGCCCCTCACTGGCCAGGAGCGCTAGGAATATCCCATGGAAGAGCCCGGACTTGCAGCAGCTCTGCCCCTCACTGGGTTGTGCAGAGAAATAATTGCGTGAGTAAATTAAAGTTGTGTTTTGAAAGAGTGGAATAAAAGGGTAATAGCCTCACTTTCCTCCAAAGCCATCCTCCTGCCCTTGCTAAGTGCTCCCTGGAATTAGGATTTGTCTCCAAAAAGCTGGATCCCATCCCACCGAGGATCCAGAGGCACCAGATCAGCAGGACAGGCAGGATCTCCCCTCCCCAGCTCTGCACAGGCAGGTGGGGTCGGTCATTATTTTCCATTTTTGTTCAACAAAACCCTCAGTTTGTAAATCCTGTCAAAATTTCAGTGTCATTCAGGCAAATGGTGGCTAACAGAGCTCTCGTGGTGGCGAGCTGCTGGGGGTCAGGGTGGGCTCGTGGCCACTGAAGTGTGTTTGGGGAGGAGAGGTGGAATTCTGACCTCCAGCCACCACTTTGGGCTCCCCCAGCCTCGCTCTGTGCCTGCCCCATGCTGGGCCCAGTAAAGGGTTAAAACCTTTCCTCTGGAGGGAATTTCCTCGGTGGTTTCAACAGGAGCTGGACCTGGTAAATCCCAGCAGCCAATCTGTAGCTCAAATCCCTCACATCCAAAATGACTGTGCAGAAACCCTGGTCGGGGCTGTACCTCCTGCTTTCACATCATTTATCTGAATTAACACATCTGAAATATTCCTTTGTGTATTACACATCCCTCACACATTTTCTGGGGTTTTTACTGGATTCAACCCCAAATCTCTCAGCGCATTTATTTACTAAACTCAACCTATGGAGCTCTGGGCAGGGGAGGAGAGGAGAGGCCCAGGGGTGACTCTGTTGACTCGTGAGGGTGCCCAGGGATAGATCCTCAGCTCAGACCTGCACAGAGTCACCTGCCTCGGGATAACGAACCTGGGGATAATGAACCTGGGGATAATGAACGGTCCCAGCTCCAGAGGGAGCAGCAGGATGAGTGTCGGGAACAGCGCAGTTTTCACACCAAGGAAACACAGACTAGTCTGGGACGCTTGGGGGGTCCCTGGGGAGGAAGGGACACAACCCCCAGTGACCTCCCAGATGGTGACACGGTGGCTCTTGGGTTTTAAACGGGATGGGATGGGATGGGATGGGATGGGATGGGATGGGATGGGATGGGATGATGGGATGGGATGGGATGGGGGGATATGGTGGGATGGGATGATGGGATATGGTGGGATGGGATGATGGGATGGGATGATGGGATGGGATGATGGGATGGGATGATGGGATGGGATGAGATGATGGGATGGGATGATGGGATGAGATGATGGGATGGGATGATGGGATGGGATGAGATGATGGGATGATGGGATGGGATGATGGGATGAGATGATGGGATGGGATGATGGGATGAGATGATGGGATGGGATGGGATGATGGGATGGGATGATGGGATGGGATGGAAGCGGAGCCTCACGCCGGCGGTGGGCGGGGCCTGGCGCTGGTGGGCGGGGCCTGGCTGAGATTGACATCTGAGCCGCGCCCGGCCGGGAGTGGCCGAGTGCATTCGGGTGGAGCCGAACACAATCGGGTCACGCCGGAGAGACGAACGCTCGCAGCTCCAGCCCAGCCGACTGGACCCGAACCGAGCCGGGCGGAGCCGACTGGACCCGAACCGAGGTGAGGAGCCGTGTGATGGAAAGACGCTCCCGCTGCCCCCCGGGCCCGGCCATGGCCCCGCAGCCGCTCCGCTCCCTCCCGGCACCGGCCCGGGGACTGAGCCGTGCGACCTCCCTGCTTCTCGCCCTGTCAGAGCCCCGGGACTGCCCGCGCTGCTCATGGCCGGGAAGAAGCTGATCGTGGTGTTCGGGGCCACCGGTGAGTGCTCGGGGCGAGGCCCGGGCTGTGCCCGGGGGAGGGTGAGGAGTGCGGGGAGCGAGCGGGGTTCGGTCCCTGTGGCAGTCGGGGCGCTCCGAGGCGCAGCCCGGGGAGCCGGGCCCTGAGCGGCTGCTCCTGCAGGGGCCCAGGGCGGCGGCGTGGCCCGGGCGCTGCTGGAGGACGGCACCTTCAGGGTGCGAGCGGTGACACGGAGCCCCAGGAAGAAGGAGGCGGAGGAGCTGAGGCGGAGGGGAGCCGAGGTGGTGAAGGCAGATCAGGACGATGAGGCGTCGCTGGAGCGGGCCTTGGCAGGTGCCTACGGATCCTTTATTGTCACCAACTTCTGGGAGCACTGCAGCAAGGAGAAGGAAATCGAGCAGGTACCTGTCCTGACGTGAACTGGGACCGCGTGTGGAATGATCTGGCAGGGTGGATCATGAGTAGCATTGAGGTGGGAACAGCTCTTGTGGCAGCCCTGATGGTTTGAGCGACCAGTCCAGAAGACCCCAAGGCCTCACAAACACCAGGTCCCAGTTCTTGCAAAGCCAGGACTTGTTCTCTGTTCCCTCGCAGTTGCACAGCTCCAGGATCTGGTGCCTTCAGGGCGTTGATAAATTCATTATGGAGGGCACTTCCCAGAAGTTTGAGTAGCAAGAGTGAGAACACTTGGCTCCTCAGAGCCTTCCCAGGCAGAGCTGAAGTTGCTGCCTGCAGACCTGTAGCTCTCTGTGCTTGCAGCTTTGGGGCCAAAATCCTGCAGTATCAGAGATCCCAAGGGTGGTGCTCACCCCACGACAGATATTGCGAGGCAGCAGTTGCCGCGCCTGGATGGCAACAAACAAAAGATAAGATAGTTTAGGGCAGGTATGTTGGCCAGGCAGATTCTTTGTGCTGATGCTTTCATGTGTGGTGGAGCAGTGAGCTCCAAAGCTGGAGGTGTGGTCTTTCTGAAGAATGATGAGGTAAGGAGAGGATTCAGCATCACCTGGAAAACTCACTGTGCTCAGCACTGGTCCCAGCTGAGGGCTGGTGGGAGTTGGATCCTCTCCAGAGGGAAGGGAGGGTGTGGGGATGATGGGAATATCCCGTTCCCCTCTTCATGGCTGGTTTCTCCCTTGGCCCAGGGACGGCGTCTTGCTGACCTGTCCAAGCGCCAGGGTCTGCACCACGTCGTGTTCAGCGGCCTGGAGAACGTGCAGCAGCTGACAGGGGGCCGGCTGGAGGTGCTGCACTTTGATGGCAAAGGTGTGGTGGAGGAGTACTTCCAGAAAATTGGGGTTCCCACCACCATCATCCGCCTGCCCTTCTACTTTGAGAACTTCCTCTCCATCTTCAAGCCGCAGAAGGCCCCGCAGGGAGACAGCTTTGTCCTGGGTAAGCAGGAGCTGTTGCTCTGTGGGTCACTGTCCTGTGGCTGTCCCCATCTGCTCCCACTGTGCAGGGACTGAGGGGTGGAGACACTGACAGGGCTGTGGGCTGGCGGGGTGAAGAGGCCTCTACCAGCTTGACCGCAGCAAGCTGCATTATGGTTTTCAGAGCTTTTTGGTGGCCTGCAGGAAATCACCAAGACCCAGGGCCTATTTGTGGTGCTGAGGACTGTTCTGCAGATGCCAGAGCAGCTCTGGACACCCCAAGTGCCTGTGTTTGGGATGGTGGAGGTGGTGGGGCTGTGGATGACTCACGATGCTGCTCTGGTGTCAAGCTCTCTTAGCTCAGCCCTGCTCTCCTGCCTTGATGGATGCTCTCATCCCTCCCTCACCTCATGTCCAGACACTGGGAGCTGAAAACTGTGCTGTACCTCCTCAGAACTGGGCTGTGCTCCAGCTGGGGTCAATCTCTCCATGCAGAGCTGCCCATGGGGGACACCCCAATGGATGGGATGGCTGTGGAGGATCTTGGGCCCGTTGTGCTTTGCCTGCTGAAGTCCCCAGGGGAGTACATTGGCCAGGTGATAGGACTCAGCACGGGCAAGCTCACCGAGACAGAGTACGCTGCCATCCTCTCCCAGCAGACGGGCAAGACTGTGACAGCCAGCAAGGTAGGAAGTGTCCCTTGGTGTAGGTGATGTTCCTGAGGGACTCCTAGCTCGTTTTGGTACAGCCCAGCACTGGTGTCCAGGGTTAGTCCTGCTGCCCCTGGGTGTGGCTGGAGGACAGCTTGGCACTGACACTGCCCTGTTGGTGTTGTCACTGAGCTCGTGCTCGTGGAGCACACGATGTGCCCGGGCAGGTCTGTGCTATGAGGGACACCTGAGCTGGGAGGTCTCCAGCAGAGCCAGGGATGGGCACCTGCACAAGTCTCTGCTGGGTGCCCTTCCCTTCAGCAGGGCTTCCCCCAGGGCTTTGCTGTGTCACCATTACAACAGATCTGGCCTCTGTGCTGTGTCGCTGTTAACAACACCCCGACCACTCCCTGCCCTTTCATGACTTATTTTTAATTTTTGTTTGCATTTCAGTTGTGCCTCAGGCAGGCAGTACAATGGATGAGGGGTATGGTGGTTCCCTGCTTTGAGAACTAAGTACATTTCATTAGAAACAAAGCCCCTCTGATGTTCTCTGCAGGTTCTGCTCTCCCAGAGGCACAGGGAACCAAACCCTTTGATTCAGGCAGGGAAGGATGTTTTGGGGTGCCACATGGCAACCTGAATTGCATCCTTGACCAAGCAGTTTCTAGAACCCCTCAGCCATAGCTCTGGTGTGAGGAAGGGCTCCCTCATAGCTGCTCCAGATGCTGGCCAGCTGTGTGCCAGACCTGGGTGCTGGCCCTAGGCTGGCTGGGCTGTTCCTGCCAGGCAGGGCTGCATCCTTTGCCCAACCCCAGCAGAAGTGCCTTGCAGAGCCCTCCTCACCAGTGGCAATGCTGCAACAGGCTGCTCCAACAGAGCCCTCACCACATCCCCTCACAGGCTGAGGGCAAGCCCCAGCAGCCTCTGAAACACTGTTTTTCCCCCCAATTCTGTTGGCAGATCTCCCCTGAGGAGTATGAGAAGCAGAACTTCCCTGGGGCCAAGGAGATGGCTGCCATGTTCCGTTTCTACGCCCTAAAGCCAGACCGCAACGTGGCCCTGACCATGAAGCTCAACCCCAAGGCCCGCACCTTCCAGCAGTGGGTGGGGGACAACAAGGATGCCTTCTGAGCCTCCCCTCCCTCCTCTTCCTCCCTGGTTTCTGCAGCAGGTAGGGGGACCTGAGGTGAGGTGCCCTGAGCCATGCTGCCTTCCCAGCAGTGCCCCAGGGAGAAGCTGATCCTGCCCCAGCTGGGGGAGCTTGGCCCATATGCTGGTCCATGTGTGTGCTCCTGCAGCCTGGCTGGGACTATTTAGGCAGCCAGAACAAGAGGAAGTGCTGGACAGCACAGGCAGAGGGGTGGCAGAAGCACTGCCTTTGCACTCTGGCCTCAGGGAGGTGTTGCTTTAGTCATTGTGGGTGTTTTAGGGTGGTGGGGCCTTTTTTTCCCAGGATCACATCCTTTCCCAGGCAGCTCTGAGCACATGACACCAAGGTTTGGGCACTGCAGGTGAGCCACTGGAGAGATGGAGGCTTAGTGTCACCCGAGCAAGCAGGGACTGCAGTGGCTTCCTGTGAGTGTAACACAAAAGCTGAGCCTGATTCCTCATCGTACAGCTCTGGCTCTGTTCCTTGGGCTCCTGGAGATAATTTCAGTCACTGTCCCAAGGAGCTGAGATAAAACTCGACTTTTTCTATACTGTCTAGGGTTCAGTGGAAAAGCCCCTTCCCCCTCATGTGCCTGAAGGCCTGCTCAGATAGGGCAGCTTTGTGTTTCAAGTCAATCCCAGCCCCTAGCAATGCTCGAGCCTGTCCCAGAGACCTTCATTCCTGTTACCAGGGGAGGGAAAGGGGGAAGAGTATACAAGGCAGCAAGGCACAGCTCATGTTAAATATCTTTATGAAGTCCATCTTATTTACATGGGTACAGAATCACTTTACAGAAGTTTAATCAGGAGGCAACGCGTGCTTTATTTCAGCAAATTAAGAAGGGCAAGACTACAGCATGTCCCTGTTTAATTGGTGTTGAACTGATTAGTAGGTGGGCTGATGGTACCTGCACGCTATCACAAACACAGCAGGCTACAGTAACCATGGAATACTCACTGCAAGAGCTCAGCTGCATCTGGAAGGAGTGATCCACCTCACTTGCACTCTCACACAAGTAAAAGAACAATGCTTTGACCAATCCTTTACACTATGGGTGTTGCACTAAGGTAATAAAAGATTTTTGTCCCCAACTGGCAAAGGGCTCAGTGATCGATTTGTACCAGTCCAGAAGCGACAGCAGTTGTGTGGTAACTTTAGTTATTTGGGGGATAAACTTGAGGCAAAGTGCAGATTCCATCACTGCTCTGTGCAGGCAATCAGCAGGATAGAGAAAGCCCAGGGCTGTGAGGGAGCCAGGCCAGCTGGGCTCAGACAATGCCCAGCCATGGGGAGATTCCACTCAGAGCTGTGCAGGGCAGCAGGGCTGTCGTGAAGACAAGGTTAGACCTCCCTGATCCACCAAGCCTCCTGGAGAGTTCACCAAGCACACCTGGCATTCCAAAGGGCACCTGAGTGAGCAGCTGGTGGGCTTGGTCTCCATACAGCAAACTGCTGCTCTGTGCTGGAATATTTATTTCACATTTCCTCTGGTTTGGATTCTAAATAATACTTTAACTTTTACCAAATAAGCTTCCAGCAGCAGTAGGGTTGTGGAACAGCCTCCAGAGAGCCACACTTCTGCAAAGCTGGCGTTTTCCTTCACTGCCAGTTCCTAGGACAGTGGGTGGGGTTTGTGTTGGTGCCTCGGTGGTCCATGGCTCTCCAGCTGGGATTCTTGCTTTGCTGCTGACTGACATCCTGTGTTCTCCAGAGCCTGGCTGCCAGAAAGATTCACCCCCAACTGCATGGATGTCCTGCTGCTGCTGGCTCCTAGTTCCCAGTAGAACGTTTTCCTGCAGTTGAAGTGAGAGGAAGGTTATCATCTCCTGGCTGCATGAGCACCCAGCCCACTCTGGGAGCACCTCCCCTCCTGACCTGCTGTCACAGTCAGCCCTACAGCACAGCCAGCTTTGTAGCCTACAAAGATGCAAAGCTGAGCTCCTGGAATCCAAGACTCTGTGTCTGCTGTAGCTGATTCCAAGTCTCAGTGCTCCCTCATAACAGGTCAGCACCAACTAAAGCACCTGAGTTACACTGCAGTGATGCATGGTGGGGTTTGCTGTGCTCTGTGACAAAGGCTGGCTCATCCCTGGTGATGTTAGCCAATGGCAGGGGTGAATCCAGCCCGAGTGTGCAGCACCAGTGGCTCTGCAGCCCAGGATTTGTGTGGCAGAACCCGGTCCCAGTGGGACCAGCTCATGGGAACACGCTCAGTGCTTGGAACTGGGCACAGCTCCAGCAACAGAGCTGCAGGGGAGGCCAGCCACCTCCCCCAGGGTGCACCCAGCATCTGTGCTGCTCTTTGCTGCAGCAGCAATGCACTTTAATCCCTGGCTTGTTGCTCCAGGTCCCAAGGGACAACTAGGGCTGTGCACACCCACGGCTGGAAGGCCTGAGGCTAAGTGAGAAGCAGCTCTGTGCTATTGTGCTTCCATCTCCCAGGAAGTGCTCAGTGTGGGGGAAAGACAACAGTGAAACACAAGAGGCCTCCTACCTCGGATGGGGTGTCAGGAGGTAAACATTTTCTTAAGTTTGGAAAGGAATCCCTCCTTGTTCTCCTGAGCCTCAGGCCTATCCCCGCCTGCGTCAGCGCTAGCCGTGGCCCTGCCACCTGGACACAAACAGCAAAGGGCTGCAGTCAGAGACATCTCCCACCAGGACCAGAGGGGTGTTTTGGACAGGGAATGGCCAAGAGAAAGCAGCTGGCTGTGCTGCTCCCTCACATCCAGGGCTGCACCTGAAGTGAGCCACAGAATTGGACCCCTTGCGGTGAAAGCACTGAGGAGCCTGGATCCCACAAGTGGAAAAGCCAACCAAGAGCTCAGGTGCTGAGCTGTTCCCCTTTCCCCAGCCCTCCAACTGGCAAGGGAATTCTCATGCTGCGCAATTGAGTGAGTCAGGGACCCCAGAGGCTTTGGAAACAAGTGCTTGGAACTGAGAATCTGCCACTAAAAACAAGCAGTGAACTCAATCACAGCCAGCCAGGACTCTACAGGGTTAAAAAATCTATACTGGTGGTCCCTGAAACAAGTTCTTCCTGATTCAAGGTTGTGTCCTTGCAAAGCAGTGCAAAACCACACCAGGAGCCTGATTTATGTCATTGCAAGCATTTCTCAGACAGTATCAAGAAGAAAACTAACTCATGTAGAATGAAAAAGGCTACAAGTATTTCAGACCAACTCTCCAGATAAGGAATGTTAAAACTGTCCTCTATGAACAGGTCCTGAGAACTTTTTGTCCCTCAGAAGTGGCTATAATGAGAACAAAGGGGACCTCTTTGCTAATCTGCTTTTTTTCTACAGTAAAACTATCAATAACAAGATCCCAAACGCCCCCTCAAGCTTTCTTTGTGCACGGAGAATGCAGAGTCTGGTGCTCCCCAGCTTCCCAGGGCTGAGTGCTGGGCTAGGACTGATGCAATGGAATGAAATCCCGAGGCAGGACACGCCTCCCTCAGCACAGCCTGTCTCTACACTGCGACCTACTGGCGTTGTTTTAACCCACCCTGCTGCTTCAGCGTGGTAAAAACTTGAAGGTTTGCTTTTTAAAAAATTAGTTTTAAGAGTGTTTCTTTTTCTCTTTGGCACATTAATGCCTTTAAAAAGCTGGAATGGAAATTCAGTGCTCAGAGCTCTCTGCCCTTCCCCCAAGGCTGACTGTAATACGGGAAAGATGTCATTTCTGTGTTAGGAAAGCATTATAAAACACAACACTGGGAAGCATTTGGCAGATGCTGTCTTCTAATATCCTGCACCTAAGCCTATATGGCCCACACTTTGGCATGTAGTAGAGCAGATCCTGGGATCATTCAACAGCTCCAAAAGGCTCTCACCCTTGCCTAGTCATAAATGCCCTGCTGGGTTTCAAACCAAAACCAAAATCCAGTGGGATTTAAGTTCATTTTTCCAATTAAGCAAAGAAAAAACTGCTTTCCAGTAGCCAAAGCTCCTTCCTCAATATTTTACCTAATGTGTTTTGCCTTTAGCTGCTGCCTCTTCCAAGCACCTCATCCCTGAAACTTAAAAAACACAATTGCTGAATCTCAATTTTCCATCTGGAGCTTCACAAAGCTCCCAGTTGCTCTCACTCCTCCATGGTGCTGGAGGCTGTCCACTGAGCAGAGCTGACACTGCCACCAATGGACACTCCTAGCCCAGGTTTCCCCACACACACAGAGCTCAGCCCCAACAGAAACCCCCATCAGCATTCCAGGAGAAACAGCCCTGCTGTGCTCAGGATTGGGATCACACAGGAAACTGGCTTGAAGTACATTTGCTTTTCTGCCTCAAGGCAAGTCCTGGCACAGGGGAAGCAGGGAGCAGGAGGCATTCATCAGCACAGCTTGTCTAGACCCTGGAGAACTCAATGCCTGCTCTCTGTTCACACATGGATTTGCACAATAAGTATGGAATAGAGCTTCCTGGGAAGAGGCTGCCTCCCTGCTGTGTGCTACAGCCTGTTAATATCACACTAGAGCTATTTTTGTTACACCAGGCTGTGCTGCCACAGTGACCCTGGCTCACCTTGCTCCCCAGGAATGGCCAGGGAGCACTCTGCACTCCCACAGCACTGCCCAGGGAAGGGGCAGGAGTTCCCTCACTCACCTGACGCTGTGTTGGTGACCCCGTTCACGGTGCCGTCCACGTCGGCCTCGTCCTCGGCGTAGCTCATCATTAAGGCTCGCTGGCGATCTGTCAGCCTCCTGTGGCACCAGGACAGGGCTCAGGGATGGCCTGGGGGTCCCAGAGCCCCCCAAACCTCCCCCAGCAGCACCCACGAGGGGCAGGGACTGGAGTTCATTGTGTAGGAATACACCAGGAATACATGTACTCTTTAAATGAGCCACCTGTGAGGAATGATCTATAAAATACTCTCAGTGGAAGAGGAAACACAAGACCCACTGCATTTCATAGAATTTTCACAACTTCTAAACAACATTTCTTGCAAAAAGTTTTTAAGATTTCACAGGAACTTGTTTTAGCTCTACTTACTGAGGAACTTTTATCTTTATGTGGATGTAGTGGTCTCCATAGCCATAGCTGTTGACCTTGGGAATGCCTTTCCCACTCATTCGAATTTTCTGGTCTGGCTGAATACCAGGGGGTATCTAAAAATAGACAGGTGTCACATTTATTACTCTAATTAAACATTTATACAATAATTACACATCCATAAGAATTATCTGCCTTTCCAACAAGCTTTCAAGTAGGATGGAAGAGCACTGGTATGCTCATTATGCACAGGGACACATCCCAAAGCTAAGCCAGTAATGATGGAAAAACTTTTGAAGGAAAAAGTAAAGAACCCAACACGGGTAGGGTTTGTCCAGCAATCCCTTTCTTTCCCTGTCCCTACACAGCAACAGGAAAGAAGCTGTGACCAGGCAGGTCACAAACTACCCAAGGCTCAGTCCTGAAGGAGTCTGAAATGCAGTACTGGCAGACTTAGGAGATTTTCCCCATCTTTGCAGCAAAGGAGAAGCCTCTGCTGTGCCCCCCACTGATTCATGGCCAGGGTATTGGCACTCACCGTGATGTTGATTGTCTCATACAAGCCTTGACACCGGGCTGTGCCTCCCAGCACGGCCTGAGCTACTGAGATCAGGAGATCCGAGTGGATATCGGCTCCGTTTCGTCGGAACACAGAGCTCTTCTGAACCTGGAGGGCAGGAAAGGTCCCAAAAGCAGTGAGCACACTCTGTTCTCCTGGTAAACTGCTCCCAGGGGTCTCAGGAAGAAAAATATACCATCCCCAAACTGCATGGCTAAGAACTGTGAGTTAATATTTGGTCTTCTACTAAAACACAGATCTTGACATAACTGAACTAGCCAAAGGATTGGAAGGATCCCAGCTTCCTTCCTCAGGAACTCCCTTCTCTAATCCTTCTGTCATTATAGATAATAAACCCTCCTGCACCATGATAGAGGTGCTGAAAAAAAAATTCTCCTTAACAGGGGTGTGTGTGGCAGGATTGTGACAGGAGAAGAGGCCCAGCTACAGCACAGGTGCAAAGCAGCCCTGAAGCTGCAAAAGGACACTTCACCAGGCAGCCTCCTGTGGCACCTCCCACAGCTCTGCCACCCCTGCCAGC